TTGCTTTCAGTAGGTAAGACCAACAGTATGCTGTCCTACCTAAGGGGCATATCAACTTTACCCTATGTCATAGTTTAGTTTGCAGGGATTTTAATCACCTTTCCCTTCTGCTAGATATCACACTGATCCAGGACTGGGGATATAGCTTAGTGGTAGAGCACCTGCCTGAGGCCCTGATCAACTCTTGAGCGCTGCAAAACAAAAAGAATCACACTGGTCTGTTATGTCGATGACATAGTCTGATTAGCCAGAAGTACCAAACCTAAGCTGATTAGCAAGGATTACCAAACACTCTAGATTTAAATGGTAAGACATTTACATATCAAAGTGAAAAATGAATCAACAAAAATTTAGAGGCCTTCTATCTCAGTGAAATTTCTAGGCATCTAGTGGTGTGGGGCCTTCACCTTTCAAATTGTTGAATCTGACACCTTCTGCAACCAATAAGAGGCACAATGCCCAATGGACCTCTTTGGATTTGGGAGGCAACATATTCCTCATTTAGGTGTGTTATTCCAGGCCATTTGCCTGAAAAACTGATAGTTTTGAATGGATCCCAGGATAAGAGAAGGCTCTACAATGGACCAGGCTGCTGTGCAAGCTGCTACATGATCCAGCAAATGTGACAGTGGTAGGTGGTGATCTACCTAGAGCTTTTGGCAGGTCCATATAGGTGAATCACAACACAGGTCTTTAGAATTTTGGAGCCAGGCCTTGCCTTCATCCTCAGATAACTATTGTCCTTTTGTGAGACAGATATTGGCTGCTACTGAACCTCAGTAGAGACTGAACATGACCTTGGGCCACCAGTTACAATGYAACCCAAGCTCTCTATCAAGAACTGTTACCTGATCCTCTAAGCAATAACATGGGGCATGTACAACAATATATTAATGGAAATGGTACATACAGAATTGGGGCCTGTTAGGAATTGCGCCTGTGAAGAGCACAAATAAGTTAAAGTGGTGGCCCAAATGTCTATTGTACCCCTTCTGCTCCGCTACCCTGCCTTCTCTTCCAGCCTGTATCTATGGCCTCATGGGGAATTGCCTAGGATCAGTTGACAAGGAAACACTTGGGCCTAGTTTACAGAAGGTTCTCCATGACATGTGATCACCACCTGAATGTAGACAGCTGTAGTACTACAGCCCTTCTCGGACAACCCTGAAGGACAGTGGTGAAGGGAAACCTCAGTGATCAGAACTTCAGACATCTGGTTATGTTCTTTGCTTAGAAAGAGAAATGGCCRGGCATGGAATTATATACAGATTTATGAGCTGTAGCCAGTGGTTTGGCTAGTTATTGAGGGAGTTGGAAGGAAGACAATTGGAAAATTAATGACAAAAACTTTTGGAAGAGGAGATATGTATACTGATAAATCTTCCTATATGGGCAAAAAATGTGGAGACATTTGTGTTGCATGTGAATGCTCATCAAAAGATGACCTCCTTAGAGGAATGCTTTAATAATAAGTGAATTGGGTGGTCCATTCTTCAGAAACCACTTAGCTTCTTTCCCTTGCAAACTTTGTCATTGCCCAGAGGGTGTATGAACAAAGCAGCCATTGTGGCAGGGATGGAGGTTATGCATTTTACACATACACTCAGCAACATGGACTTCCACTCACCAAGATCACCCTGATTGGCCACTGCTGGGTGCCCAATCTGCCAGCAGCAAAAACCAACTCTGAACCCCCAATATGGAATAGTTCTTTGGGGTGATCATCAAGCTCTCTGGCAGGTTGATTACAATTGATATATTTCTATAATGGAAGAGGCAGTGTTTTTTCCTGGATCCAGATTTGCCTTTCTAGCATGCAACACTTCTGCCAAATTTACCATCTGTGTACTTACTGAATACCTTATCCATCATCACAGTATTCCACTCAGCATTACTTCTGATCAAGGAACTCAGCATCACAGCAAAAGAAGCATAGCTTTGGGCTTACACTCTTGGAATTCACTGGCATTACCATGTTCTCCCTCATCCTCAAACAACTGTTGTGTTAACACAGTGAAATGACCTTTTGAAAAAATTGATTGAAGTACTAGTTGGGTGGCAAACCTTGTAGGTTTGGGACAAAATTCTCCAGAAGGCTGCAGATACTCAATCCATGCCTAAAATATGGTTCTAATTCTCTAGTAGCTAGGATTTACAGATTCAGGAGTCAAGGGTTGAAAGTGGGAGTCGGATCATTCATTGTTACACCTAGAGATCCATTACAAAATGTTTGCTTCCTGTTCCCAGGATTTATATTCTGCTGGCCTAGAGGTCTGTATTCTAAAGGGAGGAATACTTCTACCAGGAGACACAATAATTCCATTGAAATGGAAGTTAAGACTGCCACCTGGCCACTTTAGGCTCCTTGTGCCTCTGAATCAATATGCTATGAAGAGATGGTGTTGGTTGGGGTTGATTGATCTGGATTATCACAGGGGAATTGGACTACTGCTCAACAATGGAGGGAAGGAAGAGCATTAGGAACAATTCTTAGTTTACCCTGTGAGGTCAATGGAAAACTACAGCCACCCATCCAGCATCTAGGTAGTACTACTAATGACCTAGACCCTTCAGGAATGAATATTTGGACTATCCAGCTGAGCAAAGAAACATGACTGAATTGCTTGCTGAAGGGAAAGGGAATACAGAATGTGTTGTAGAAGGCAGTTATAAATAGCAGTACAACCACATGACCAAATGAGGACTGTAATTGTCATGAGCATATAATTTTTTAATAAATATGATTGTATCTATACTTATGTTTAAGCAAAATATCTGTTTTCTTATTGCCTTATGTAGCATAATACAAATACTATGAATATTGGTTAATTTCTCATGATAATTTTAAGTTTCCAGATATCAGAAGAGTAAACTTCATTCAAGGACTTTTTCTCCTCTTCCGTGTGATAAACATTGGGAGTAGTGCATTTTTTTGGTCGTACACAGGATAGAGTAGTCCCACCTTATTCTCAGGAGATGTATTTCAAAACCCCTACTGGATGTCTGAAATCACACATAGAACTAAACCCTATACACAGCATCACAATACTGTGATGGTCAAACTAATAAGCTAGCTGCCACGTGACTGTATACACACATACAGGTATATATAACTTGAATATACTAGATAAAGGAATGATACTCATCCAAGCAGGACTGAGCATGATGGCATGATTTCTCATCATGCTGCTCAGAATGACATGCAATTTGAAATTTATGAGTTATTTCTAGATTTTCCCATTAATATTTTCTGGCTGAGGTTTACCCTAAATAACTGAAACCTCAGAAAGCAAAGGTGTTTAAAGGCGGGATTACGTTAGTTTATTATGTTAGTTTATTATGTTACTGGTCTTCATTTGGAGGTTATGGTTTAAGAAGATGTGTATGAGTGCCAAGTTGACAAGGGGTGGGTGGACATGTGATAGTTCATTTTAGTGTGTTGACTGGRCTAGGGAATTCTCAGTCCATTATTTCTGTGTTTTATCTGTGAGAGTATTTCTGGAAGAGATTAGTATTTGAATTAGTAGACTGCGCAAGGAAGATTGCCCTCACCAACATGGGAGGACGTCATTGGGTCTGCTGAAGCCTGAATAGAACAAAAAGGGGAATAGAAGGATGAATTTGCTCTCTGCTTGAAAGAGGTTCTTTCCTGACCTTTGATAACAGTGCTTCTAGTTCTTAGCTTCAAAGTTGGACCAAGACTTACATCATTGGGCTTGGATTGGAACCATTCCATCAAATTTTTTTTTTTAATTTTTGTAGTTGTAGATGGATAGCATGCCTTTATTTTATTTATTTTTATGTGGTGCTAAGGATGGAACCCAGTGCCTCACAGGTACAAGGCAAGCGCTCTGCCACTGAGCTACAGCCCCAGCCCCTCCACCTTGCAGATGAGCTTTATGAGCCTCCAACTTGCAGATGATAGATTGATCATGGGACTTATGTACTTCCATCATCTCATGAGCCATAAATGAATAAATAAATAAAACATTCAGTTTCTCTGGAGAACCCTAACTTAAGCTGTTTTGTTATTTATTTTATGTTCTTTTGTGTCTCCTGAATTCTCTTTCATCTGATGTCATTTCTTTTTAATTGAGTCTTTGTTTTTCTTTTTTTTTAATTTTTTAGTTGTAGTTGGACACAATACTCTTATTTTATTCATTTATTTTTTATGTGGTGCTGAGGATCGAACCCAGGGTCTCGAACGTGCGAGGCGAGCCCTCTACCTCAGCGASCACTCTACCGCTGAGCCACAACCCAAGCCCCCTGGGTGTTTGTCTTTCATGTTGCATTATTTTTTCAGATCACTTAATGATGGCTTGGCTGACAGTGTCAAGGACTAAGGCAGTGGAAAGCTATATGGAACTGTTCTTGGAAGAAGTTTATTAACCCAAGGCTTTATTCCAGGATGATTGAGTAGGAAGCCAATTAGTATGCTGGAGAATTCCCTAGTGGTCAGAATGTAAGATTCTTTTCTCTGAGATCATTTCTTTAAAGAAGACCCTCTGGCTTTTTGCCTGTGGAATTGATGCATACTTACACCAAGCTTTCTTCTTGCTGCCATAGGGATGTTAAAACTTGTATACACAGACAGTCTTCTTTTCAAACCCTCCCTGCCTCTTACTGCAGACCTGTGCTTTTCCTGGATTTCTTCATCTAGAGCCCCTTCAGTTGTTTTCCTACTTGGCTATATACTCCAGGTTCTCCCCCCACCCTCAACAATGATATTGAGCAGATGCAATTACTATATGTTCTTACCTAGTCTCACATATTACCATTATAAGATGGTTTGTCTGCATCATCAATGACTGGTATTAGTCATATGACAAGTTGTCTTCTTTTTTTTTTCCCTTTCTCTTTCTCTTCTCCCTCCCCTGCTTTCTCCCTCTCCCTCCTCCCTCCTTTTTTTCCTTTTTCTGTGTTGCTATGGATCAAACCCAGAGCTTACTCAAGCTAGCCAAGTGTTTGAGCTATGTACCCTTAACCCATGACACATTTTCTTAAGGCWGGATCTTGATTCCCAGTTGTAGGCTGATCAACTTAATCTGAAAAGAATTTGTAACATGTAAATGTTTTAAGCTTAGAGCTGTTGTATACACACTTAAATTAAAAATAGTTCTACCATCAGTTTATTTCAAGAGTCTTCTAAGAATGTTGGAAGTTATTTTGTTCCAAGGCCAGGGTTATTTTAGTTTAAAAGTATCTTTCGAAGCCACTGTTGTCTTCATAACAGTAGAACTCTGGCACTGAATTCAGTGGTCTAGGATTCAGTGAAATGGTGGCTAATTTCTGGTCCCAACCTGGAATTTAAAACAAATTAATGATTTATTATAAGATTACTCCTTAATTTTAACACACTGTTATTTTAGCAATTGTGCATAATAACATAATAATTTATGGCATGTAAGGCAAAGGGCTGTATTTAAAATATGGAAAAAGGGACTTAGTTAGCCAGAAGATATTYCTTTAGCTCAGTCTCCAGTTAAGAAGCCTACTTTTATACCAAAATGTAAATAAAATGAATAAATCACACAAATTTGCATTTTGACAGCCTAATTCTAGACCACCTCCCCCCTAGCCTTTTAGTACTACATTATCTGGGAACCACTTTGTATCAAACTGCTGCTGTTAGCACAATGCTAAATTCTTTATACATATATCTCAGTTCTAGTAGGTAGATATTATTTTTTATCCTTTTTGCAGGTGAGAAAATTGAGGGTCAAAGAACCTAAGGGTCACGCAGCTACTAAAAGCATTTATTTTTAGTTTGGAAGAATGATCTTTAATTATTTGGTCCCAGGGTTAGTAATTCAGGGACAACTTTCTTCTGAGGGATGACTCCTCCTCCCAAGCTGTAAGTTCTGAGAACAGCCTGCTCTATATCCTCCAATGTGGCCTGCACATAGTCAGTGCTTAATAAGTGTTTCCTAAGTAAATAAATGATGTGTGTTGAGAAAGAATTTTAATGGAGGAAGATTTTTTAAAGCAATAAACATGACCTATCATGCATAGTCTATGTTTATTCTGTTCCTAAACAATTTGCCAAATTAGAAACCTCAGAGAAGGGAACATGAAATGCAAGAGATTACTAATCTACACATGATTTCAGCCCTGAAAAATCTAATCACAGGGCTGGGGGTGTGGCTCAATGGTAGAAGACTTGTCTAGAATGTGCAAGACATGCAGATTGAACCCCATGACTGCAAAAATAAATAAATAAATAAATAAATAAATAAATAAATAAATATAAAAAGAATCTAATCACAAAGACTGGCCTAATGGTGAAGCTCAACAACCCGAGGATTAGATAAACAACTTAATCTTGCTTTCTCTTATTCTGTGAAAAGTCCTTCCCCAAAACTCCTGAAAGAGTTTGTGCCTTGATCTGAATATGTTTGATTCAGTCTCTGCTCTTTTCTCTACCAGTGCTCTGACTGTAATGTTCTTCTCTTAGGCCTCTTATGTACCAACCTTTTGCCTGCCTGTTGTTTATAAAACAGTTTCCATCTAAGTATCTCTCAAATCCATCTCAGTCTTTGCACCGATACAACCCATCACCAGGTGCCTGAATCATTGGTTCCCAAACTTGGCTACACAATGGAATTATCTGGAGAGTTTTAAAAGCTATTAATGCCTAGGTCACCCCAACCACCCCCTACTGGGTGGGTATAGTCTGGGCATCTGGATATTTTGAAAACTCTTCAAGTGATATMGCCAAGATTAAGAACCTCAACCAAATCACAACAATTGGCTCTCCATAGCCAATCTTTGGCCTACTCCATTCCCTTCCCTACCTCTCCTTTTCTTCTTCATGGTTAGGGTAATCTTTTCAAAATGAAAATTTCATCATTATCTCTATTCTTTTTAAAACTTTTCAACTGTGTCCCATTCTGAGGCTAAAGGCCCCAAACCTGAATATGGCCAGTAAAGTCTTTCTTATTCTGCTGAGGATTGAACCTATGGCCTTGTATGTGCTAAGCACACACTCATCACTGAGCTATGTCCCCAGATCTCTTTATTTTTTTAATTCTTCAAACATGTCATGTTCCATCCCAACACAGGGCCKTTGCACAAACTACTCTCTGTGAATGTGTTTCCCTTCTTGCCTAGTTAGCTTATCCTTCAGCTCTTGGCTCATTTCCCCAGGGAAACCTCCTGTCTACTGTATGCCATTATAGCATCCCATAAACTGGTTCCCAGCATTTATGGAGGGTAGAACCTATGGCTACTTCCATGCTAGTTCTACTAAATCTCCCTGAGTGTAGAAAACTTGTGTCTGTTTTCAGCTCACATTAAATTGTGAAAAATAGCACACCAACTGGCATTCACATAGGCTCTCAAATTATTTACTGAAGGAATAAGTATGAATAAATAAAAATGTGCCTAACATCAAATCTGTTACCAGTCCAATCTAATGTCACCTCCACATCTCTGTAGAGTCCATTTATTCCTTTTCATCTTCTCTGCTGCTATGAGCCATCATCATATCTGGTCTAAACCACTAAATAGCTTCCTCAGTGGTCTGCATACCCTCCCTCTTGTCTCTTTCCATTRTCTTAACAGCACCCAGAGTGATCTCTCCAGAATAGAAGGGGTGAGGGAAGAATGCATGCCTAGCACACGCAAGGCTTCATCCCCAGGACCATCCTCCCCCAAATTTAAATAATATATCACTCTTCAAAATCCTTTGATGACTTTCCATCGCTCTTGAAATAAAATTCAATCACCTAACTCACTACCCACCAAACTACAATGGCCTTCTTTCTGTTCCACAAATCTGCAAGACTTTTCCAGCTTTCAGGATCTGGCTTTTACTGCTCCCTTTGCCTGAAGTGTTCTTTATATGACTCATTCTTATTTTTCAGGGCTCAGCTAAAATTATGTCGCGTTTTCCCTGACAGCTCTATTTAAAGGAACTTCCTTCAACTGTGCTCATCACCCTGCTAATTTCCCTTATAGCTCTACCAAAATCTATAACTTAAAAAAGTGTATCTGGCTATGTCCTGTGTCCTCCAGCAGAATGCCAGCTCTCTGGAAGCAGGTGTCCTGTCTATTGTGGTCACTGTATCCCCAGGATAGCACAGTGTCTCGTTTATAATTGGTGCACAATAGTCACACTGTGTTTGCCAGCTTATGAGGATTATCTGTGCCTCTCTCACCCGACCTTAGTGGTGGCTGTATGTGACTAATAGGATAAATCAGAGGTGACAGGGTATGACTTTTGAGCCTAGGTTATAAAAGCCATTGCATTTTGCCACCTCAGTCTTGAATCACTCATTCTAAAGGAAGCTGACTTCCAAGCCATCAGCACACTCAAGCAACCCCATGGAGAGGCCCACATGGAAAAGTACTGAGGCCTCCAGCCAACAGCCAGCTTGACAATGCTGTCACTAAACCACCTTGGGTTGGATCCTCCAGCCATTAAGCCTTCAGCTGAGACTGCAGCCACACTGAATTCTGACTGAAATCTCGAGAGCCTCAGCCACCATTGCCCACCTGAGCAGTTTTGGAATTCCCAACCCATGGAAACCCCTAAGACATTAAAAAAAAATCATCATTCATGTTTTAACCCACAAAGTCTTGGAATGATTTGTTCCTCAGCAATAGACAACTAATATGCATTCAATCACTGACTCAATGAATAGAGCAGTGAATATTTCAATATAAATGACACTGGAGTAAGTCAGGCTTCAAACCTCACTAAGTAGGGGATATCCAAAGCTGTTCTTCATCTTCTGTTGCCTAGCCTGCACTTTATAGCACCATATTTTCAATTGTTTACAGACCCCAACTTGATCATATCTGCCTCAAACCACTATTTCTATCAGAGGTACCAATAATCTTGCAAAAACAAGAGGCTGTGGAGTGATCTTTAGTTCCTCTCTTGCACATTCTTTATTAGCACCATCTTTCCTCACTTCCAGTGCTCTGCCATATAAATCCTCACTCCATTTCTACTCAAACCTTCCCAGCTCAATTTACGAGCACTGTCTTTGGAGTGTGRCATATCTAGGTTTGACCTGAACTGACAACAGTTACTTGCTCTAGTAGGTTGTTTTTTTCTTTTTGGTCCTRGGGATGGAACTCAGGGGCACTCTACCACAGAGCCACATCCCCAGCCCTATTATATTTTATTYGAAGACAGGGTCTCACTGAGTTGTTTTGCATCTCKCCAAGTTGCTGAGGTTGGCTTTGAACTCTCGATCCTTCTGCCTCAGCCTCCTGAGTTGCTGGGATTACAGGCGTGCACCACCATGCCCAACTTTTAGTAGGTGATTAAGATCTCTAATATACCTACTTCATGGAGACATTTACAACTAGTGTTAATGATGAGCATACATGAATGTCACTTAGCACAGTTCCAGGCATGAGATATTTTAAATCCTAACAACTATCTTAAAGGTAGACTTCGAGTCTCTATTTTACTGAGRAGCAAAAAGGTTCAGAGAAGTTGAGTATCTAGCCCAACACCACACAGCTAGAAGGGTGCCAGGCCTGCGGCACTATGATGCCTGAATCCTGTCCCCCACTTCACACCATCACACGTGGCACCACTGCAACAGCTTCTTGGCTGCTCTTCTTGTCTGTAGCACCTGCTTTCTCTACCCTGTCCTGAGCAGAGCTGGGTCACTCAGCTGACTATGACTCTGATTGTCCAAATTTGATTTTCCCTAGGCTTCCAGGGAAAAGTCTTCTCCCTTGCCCTAGTCAGGCCAACATCCTCCCCCAGTCCCAACAAATCTCACCACAGCATCCACTGTCCCTGGTGGCCCATCCCAACAGACCCATCACACAGCCCAACTCAGGCCCTGTTCATGCATGCTGCATTCCTAGCTGAAACCAGCTGTAGTGAGGCTCCAGTAAACTCATCTTTGGACTCCTACTTCTTTAGTTGGTATTCGGTCATTCTCTAAAAGATTGAGGTCCTCTTCCCTATTGGACTGTAAGGTCCCTGTGGCTGAGATCATTGCCTGGATTTTCTATTTATCTAGCAGAGGACAAGGTACCTAGCAGATGGTAAACATTTAACTGTTCTGCTGAACATTCATTTGGTTTTGTAGATTTGGAAAGAATTAGAAACTGTCTTCTGAAATAAGTGAAGGAGAATACCTTTTGTATCTATCTAATGAGGTTTCCTCCTAGCAGAAGAATTATAACAAGGGTCCAGTTTTTGTTTTTTGTTTTTGGTACTGGGCATTGAACCCAGGGGCACTTGACCACTGAGCCACATCCCCAGCCCACTTCTCTCTCTTTTTTTTTTTTGTATTTTTATTTAGAGACAGGTTCTCAGTGAGTTGCTTAGTGTCTCTCCTTTGCTGAGGCTGGCTTTGAACTTGCCATCCTCCTGCCTCAGCCTCCGGAGCAGCTGGGATTACAAGTGTGCACCACCATGCCTGGCAAGGGTCCAGTTTTCTCTTGTTTTGGAAATCCACTGGATTCCCTCATGCAACAGATTTTGCACTTTTACAGTCAGTCTGTAGGGCAGGAGTCCTACTGGCACATCCTGAACAACCTCTCCTCTCCACCCCTCCTCACCTCCCAGGCTTCACACTTTCTTTAGCCCTAAGCTATACCCCTAGCCCCCYTACTTTCCTTTACCACAACCTCCTCAAGGGGGCTCTGCCACCCCCACCCCAACCACTCTTCACTCCCTCCCTGCCCCTCCTTCTCTAAATGACCTTCATCTCAGCCCCTATCTTTCTTCTTGGCTCTCACTTCCCTCCCTTCTCAGACTCCAACCTTCTCCTGCTTCCAGAACCCAGCTTTGCCCTGCTTGTAACCTCTTGTCAATCGCTGGCCCTATCCCAGCTTCATCTATTGCCACCTAGTCCCTGGCTCAATTCTCCCAAGACTGGCCTGTCTCTGCCTGGCTCCCACTCCTCCTGATGCTACTGTTGGCTGTTCCCTGGGGACCTGRGATCCAGCTGGGGCCATCTCTCTGCCCTTCCAGCTTATTCCCGCTCACTCTGGGAGGAGTGAGGGAAGGCTAAATCCTTTTTCTCCCACCATTTCTCATGTGACTCGAATTAAAGAAAATTGTTAAATAGTAACTCATGCAGGTGACACTCAGCTATGACAGAAGCACTATAGCTTCACAGTTGGCCACATTTGGGAGTGAAATGCTCTGGGTCCTGAATCCTGCTGATCTCACCTCCTGGCTATGTGGTTTGGGGCTAGTTAATGAATGGTCCCTGCAACTTACTGTAAAATGGGATGGTAACACCTCAGAGAGCTTGCCGTAGGACTAAGTATGTCCTTGACACCATGTAAGAGCCCCCAAAATGTTGGGGTTTGTTCATTTACAAAGTCTTCCAAATGAGTTAATTCATTTAACAAACAAAAACCCAAAGCACTAATGACTATGTCAATAATATTAAGCTGGCATCATTGTACACTGTCAGGATCCCTCTGCCCACCTGCTGAAACAGAGAAATACAGTGAGGGGAGTTGGGAATTTTTGAACCATGCYTCCATATATGTCAAGTAATTGTCATAACATCATTTAAAATAGAGAAAGAAAAAGAAGTTCCCTCAACAATGTGTTTAGGCCCACTCACAATTTGTGGTGGGACAGGGACTCAGGGCTCAGACTGGAGTCTGCTTCCTAAGAAGGACACTTGCAGATTTTCATCCCTGAAGTCCCAGATGCAGGGAGCCAGGAAAGGAGGAAAGGAGGAACCCTCGGCACCCCTCTAACTTCTTTTTGCATCCAGACCCTCACATACATATCCCTGCCCCCAGCCGGGTCCTAAACGGGCTCTCTGAGTCAGCAAGCCCAGGGAATGTGCTGATCTGTGGCCCAGGCAGGGTTAACTCAGTGGTCAAGATCACTTGACCTGACTCACCAATGTCGTAAAATGGCAGAGAGTAGCTTCTCTGGTAAGTGGTTTCCTTATACCACGAGTCGACAGGCTTCGAACGACTTTTAAAACAAATATATCGAATGAGCGTTTGTTGGTCTAATTGAGGCTGATACGGAGTTTTTCTCTCGGTTGGAATTGCCAAGTCTATGAGTGGTCTAAATGTAAAGAGAAATAGTTGATGAGTACCCACTGGAAGAAAAGAGGTCCATTTTCTCATCAGCCACAGCCCACTCCCTCGAAGTGATGTTGGGCCTGCCAAAATTGCAACAGATAGTGCAGGGCTTTCAGTTTCCCTTTAAGCATCCTTCCTTCTCCTCCTCCCCAGTGCAGGTCACAGAAGRGAACCTGCATCAAAACCTCCACTGACTCCGCCCACCCACAGCTGTGTCCTGTGGGCCAGATAGACCCCCCACTCTGCCTTTGCCCATTGTAATTTTTCTATGCATGTTTGGGTCCTTCAAGAAACCAATGAATTCTTTTAGGTGGATCAGCACAGTGGTGCATCTTGGTGTTTAATAGGCCTCAAATTAATCACAACCTTCTTGTACCTCTATTATAAACACTCTCCAAAGTCAAAAGTAAACAATAATCAAAATGTAATGGCAAAATACCTTCGGGTACCCTCATGGGAACCTTCATTATCAGTATAGTATTTCAGATATGAATGTAAGTATACATTCACCTACAACTTTGGTGATATGTATTAAGACCTTGAAAATAAACTTATATTTTGTCTCAACAATTCTAGCGATTAGGAATGTTAACAAAGACTTAGTTCTAAGAATGCTTACAAAGTGTTTTTATAATGATAGAGAGAGAAGAACTTTCAGGTAGGAAAAAAAAAGGAATCAGCTGAAGGGATAGAGGTGCCAATCACCCTGATCTGACTATCACACATTGTAGACATGTATTGAAATATCACACGGTTCCCATAAACATGTAYGACTACTGTCAATTACAAATGAGGATATATTTTTAAAAAGAAAAATAGGGAATTATTTAGTCACTAAGAYAGACATATAGAGAGAATGCCATACCACCATGAAAACTAATGCAGTAGAATTATAATTTTGAGATGGAAAATGTCCACAATATATTATTAAATTTAAACAAAGGTTTTGATTTGAGTTATGCATTTTAAATAGATGAGTTGTATGGCATATAAATTACTCCAATAAAGCTATTATCAAAGAAAAAAGGTTCCACAATACCATTCCCAACCCTATCTCATCCTATTTTGGTGCGGATCTGCATGATTAGCTCTGGGTGATACCATTATTGGTAATTTTCAATTTTTTATTATCAATGTCTTCCTCTTCCTCCTCCTTCTTTTTTATTTTTGAGTATTGAATCCAGAGGTGCTTTACCACTGAGCTACATAGCCAATCTGTTTTATTTTTTATTTTGAGTCAGGATCTTGATAAATTGCTGAGGCTGGCCTTGAACTTGGAATCCTCCTGCCTCAGCTTCCTGAGACACTGAAATTACAAGTGTGTACCACACAGACAGCTTGCCATCAGTATCTTTTAAATATTCTATTAAATATTTTTTTGTGTATGTGTATATGTGTATGTGTGTGTGTGTGTGTGTGTGTGTGTGTGTGTGTGTGTATGATTCTAGGGATTGAACCCTGGGGACTCACTCATGTAGACAAATGCCCTACCACTAAAGTACATGTTTAGCTCTTTTTATTTTTTATTTTATTTATTTATTTATTTWTTTTTTTAGAGAGAGAGAGAGAGAGAGAATTTTTTTTAATATTTATTTTTAGTTCTCGGCGGACACAACATCTTTGTTGGTATGTGGTGCTGAGGATCGAACCCGAGCCGCACGCATGCCAGGAGAGCGCGCTACCGCTGAGCCACATCCCCAGCCCCTGTTTAGCTCTTTTTAAATTTTACTTCAAGACAAGGTCTTGCTAAGTTGCTCAGGCTGGTCTTGAACTTGCAATGCTCCTACCTCAGCCTCTTAAGTAACTGAAATTGTTAGGTGTGCATCATCACTGTGCCAGGCACACACACACACACACACACACACACACACATACACACACACCATATATATAATTTATATGATATAGTATGTATTTATATATGCTAAAAATAAGTGAGGTGTGCTGCTATAGATGTAAAGTATTAAATGTTGACTGTTATTTTGGAACATCTAAATTCAATCAGGATTGAGTAGGATAGTCTTATATCATTTACTGTGACCACATCATACAAAGAAGTGATCAAAACTACTCAATAATAATAAAAATGTTGGGGTTCAGAAGGTGTAGGTCAGTGGTAAAACACTTGCCTAGTGTGCATGAGGCCCTGGCTTTCATCCTCAGCATAAAAACAAAAAAATTCATAATCTTTTCCTGATTGTGTAAAAACTTGATTGCAAGGTGGAAATGGAGTGACGCTGTCTGAAGTTTAAAAAAAAAGGCAAGAGTAAGAATCTCACCGTGCCGTGGGAAACCTGTTGAATGGGTGAGAGTGATCTGTTGTGGATGGGCCTGGAGAAGCATCAGGAACACCCACGCACCTCTGCTTGTTCTTCTTTCATGCTTAATAGGTATTTGGCCTTGTGAAGTGGGTGCTTTAAGTGGTGGATGGTAGTACTCCTTTTCCTATGGAATGAGTCTCCTGCTGTCCCTGCTGTCAATGAGAACATTAGCTGTCTGGTGTCTGTATCAGTTTCCTGTGGGCTTGGGTTCTGTGTGACCATTGCTGTCAGTCTGGTCACTTCTGTGCCACTGGGGGTTCTGATCCTGGGGACCACCCCCTAGATCTTCTCCTGATGRACTGCCAGCTTGCCTCCACCTTTGCCTGGAGTCTTTCTCAAGAACTAGAACATTCTACCTTTTCAAATAACACAACAGCACCCTTCTGACTTTCACTCAAAAGACTGTAATCTAAAAGGCCACGTTGGTGGAGGAAGATATTTGGGGAAGGTAAGCCATTAGACAATTATCAGGTGACACCACAATTACAATAACTAGATTTAGATACTTGCTTCAGGCAGCACATATGCAACAATGGAAGTAAAGCATGGCTCCTGTGCATAGACTGACCTGCCAATTCATGAAACAGTCCATTCTATTTTTAGGATTTTTTTTTCATCTTGGAACAAAATTGGACATGAATAATAACTTTCTTGTTTTAAAAATCCTCCTCCCCCAAATACTCCCTCCAAAATGCACCTAAGAATGGTCTTAAGAACCACAGTATTTCCTGTTTTGGTAGCATTTTGTTTAGATTTTTACTTTTTATTCTTATTCTTCACTAGAYACTTAATAAACTTACAGATTGACATTTGCATCGTAATGCTGAACCTTGGCAGGCACAAGTCTTGTAAGAGCCAAGTAAAATCAGGTTCCTTTAATAGAGCCATGCCCTGGTAGGACTGATGTTTGGGCATTAGTCAGACGGGTTTTGGTGGTGGTGGAGTGGTGGTGGGCAGAGTAAGGACATTGTCAGATTGCACAAAGAACAAACTCAGAGGGTGCCCCTGTGCCTTGCACAGCTCTGGCTCTGGGTCCTGTTTCCCTTCTTGTCAGTACCCTAGTAGAGGATGTCGCTGTAATGAGTGGCATGCCTGTAACCCAAGCTACTTGGGAAGCAAAAGCAGAAGGATCCCTTGAGCCCAGCAGTTCAAGGCCATCCTCAGCAACAGAGTGAGTCCCTCTCTCTCTCAAAAACAAAACAAAACAATAACAGAAAACAAAAGTACAGTTGACTATAATTATATGAGTTAGAACTAAGAGCCTTGAACTGGGAATGGGAAAATAGGGGTAAATTCAAGTATAACATTTATACTGTGTGACCTCAGGCAAGATGTCACTTCTCTTGCTATTTTTCATTCATCTGATTGGACCAGGATGACCTCAAAGTTACTTCCAGTTTGATCATATAAATATAGACTATATGCTGCTSCAAAGTATGGGTGCCATGGATCTTTTCTCTCTGCATGGAAAATAATTGGAGTTTGGCTACACCAAAGTCAACTGGGAGAGGAGAAATCTGTAACATATACTAGATGATGAAGTTGGGGTAATAGTAATCGTATGTTGAGTGCTTAATGTGTTATGGAATTTTATATCCATTATTTTGTTTAGCAGATTAAGGCAGTTGATATTGAGAAGGAATGAAGATTGCCTAAGATCAAACAGTTCATAAGTTACTCAAATTGCTGCCTTTATAGTTTCCTGCTTCCCTAAGCTGAGAGAGAGAGAGAGAGAGAGAGAGAGAGAGAGAGAGAGAGAGAGATCAAAGTACCTCTGATTTTAGTTTTTTTCTTTTTATGAAAACCAGACCTAGAAGGGCAGAAAACATTTAGGTCAAATTTGTAACTTTACTGAGAAAGAAACTGAATCTCAGTAAGTTTCAGTTATTTGGCCAATTGGAAATCCTAAAGACATGGGATTTTAAATAATGATTTAATAAAATTCTTTGTTTATTGTTGATTGTAAAAACAACGTGTGCTCATTAGAAAAAACATTGAAAGCTGGATGTGGTGGCACATGCCTGTTTTCCCAGAGACTTAGGAGGCKGAGGCAGGAGGATCATGAGTTCAAAGCCAGCCTTAGCAATTTTGAGACCCTGTCTCAAAGTAAAAAATAAAAAGCGCTGGGGTGCAGTGCACTGATAAAGTGCCACAAGTAACCTCCTCACTACACACACAAAAATCAAAAAAATAAAATAAAAGAAATAAAAAAATTGGAAAATAAAAAAAGATTAAAAAGTAAAATACAAAATACTATTAATCTTACCACTGATTTAAAAAGACATTATTGGGTCTAGAGAGTGTAGCTCAGTAATAGAGCTCATATTAGCATGAGTGAGGCCTTGGGTTTGATGATCCCCAGTGTAAAAAGAAAAAAAGAAAGAAAAGACCTCCTCACCCACTCCCAACAACAACAAAACCCAACTTTAAAAAAAATTTATTATTTTAAAGTTGTAGGTGGACACAATATCTTTATTTTACATTTATGTGGTGCTGAGGATTGAACCCAGTGCCTCGTGCATGCTAGGCGAGCGCTCTACCACTGAGTCACAATCCCAGCCCCAAAACCCAACTTTTTTGATAGTTGGTGTATTTCCTTCTAAATCTTTTCTACCATGAAGTAGTACTTGTTATTATTGTTACCATTATTAAGATTATGTCACCCATAAAAATCATTTTAGCTTTGGTGACATTCTTGGAAATTAATACTTAGGAGGTGTCCCACCTGGGTGTTTTCTTCACACTATCATCATAATGAACTCTTGCCAGTTGCCCATGGTAGTAGCCTCGGAGATCCTTTCCTCTGTGAACAATGAAGTTACTATGGAGAAGGAAAAGAGTTGATTTTTAAAAAGCAGTTGTTACAATGAGTTCTTTAAAGGAAGAACATTGGCAGTTATATGATAGAAATACATTTGGATTTGGTCCCCTGTTCCTGGCAACTAAAACCTGCAAAATTTCCTGACAGTGTCTGACATAACGAAGTCCTTCCACCATACCTGAGTTCATGGCACCTGCAGGCCTCCCTTCCCCTCGCCACAACCTCCAAGATCAGTTAAAAAAAAAAAAGTGCAATTTATTTTCAGGATTCATAAGGAAATACTTCAGATGTCAGATATTAGGTTCAAAATATTAGGAAAAAGAAAAGGATATATAAAATATGTAGGACAAATGTTGATAATTATAGAAATAAGGAAACAAATGGACTCATTATACTATTTTTTCTACTTTTGATAAATTTGTATATTTTCCTAAGTTAAAAAAAAACAATAAAGGAGCTATAAATAGAGCAGCACTGTGACATCAAAGCATGAGGTGCTCATAAGCCTGGATGAGGGACTCTCCCCCACCTGGGGCCACTGGTTGTGAGGAAGTTTTGAAGCATAAACATGAGCTAATGGGGTGAGGGCTGGTGGGGAGTGTGAACATGAGATGATTTTGCCAACCAGAATATAGTGATGCTGCGGTTTGGATGTTAAATGTTCCCCAAAGGTCCATGGATTAAAGGCTTGGTCTCCAGGAGGTGGGGTCCCTAGGTTATGGGAAGTGTGACCTCAAAAGGAATCGTGGAACTCCATCTCTTTCCTTTCACCTCTCTTTTGCTTCTAGCCATGAGGTAAGCAGTGTACTGCACTACACACTCCTTTGCCGTTACCATCTGGTACACCTACCAGAGGCCCAAAGCAACAGGTCTGCCCCATATTAAACTGGACCCTCCAAAACAATGAGCTAAAATAAATTTTTTCTTTATAAATTAGTTATCTCAATTGTTTTGTTATAGTAACAGAAAGCTGACTAATACAAGTGGTGTCAGGGAAGACTAGGCTAGAGGGGTCATGGTGCTCAGGTTTATATTCTGAAATGTATCTTATTTTATAATAAATTACATTTCCTTTTATAGTTACAATACTATATTGATATTTTAAAATTATGTATAGGTACATTATATTATTAATGGATTTTATTTCAAAAATATGCCAAGACATTGCAAAATATTTGTTATAAAAAGACAGTGTTGTCCCAATTCTTTTTCTAATTGAAATTTCTTCAACCAGTGTGAAGAAAACTTCTTCACCAACTCTTTATTATGCAGAGTTGAATTATAGAAGCAACATTCAAGACAGCATTTTCTTTTTAAATTAAATAATTAATTTATTTTACAATAGAATTCATTTTGACATATTGTACACAAGTGGAGCACAATTTCTCATTCCTCTGGTTGTACATGGTGCAGAGTCACTCCAGTAGTGTAAATATACACGTATATTGGATAATAATGCCTATCTCAATTCTATTGTCCTTCTCATCCCCACAATCCCACCCCTCCCCTTACTCCCCTCTACACAAATCAAAGTTCCTTCATTCTTCCGTATCCCCATCCCCCCACCCCTCTAAGAATCAGCATCCACTTATCAGAAAAAACATTCAGCTTTTGGTTTGGGGGGATTGGCTTATTTCACTTAGCATAGTATTCTCTAGTTCCATTCATTTACCTGCACATGCCATAATTTCATTCTTCTTTGAGGCTGAGTAATATTCCATTGTGTGTATGTACCACATTTTCTTCATCCATTAATCTCTTGAAGGGCATCTAGGTTGGTTCCATAGTTTAACTATTGTAAATTAAGCTACTGTAAACATTGATGTGGCTGTGTCCCTGTAGTATGCTGATTTTAAGTCCTTTGGATATAAACCAAGGAGTGGGATAGTTGGGTCAAATGGTGGATCCATTCCAAGTTTTCTGAGTGGTTACACCAATTTGCAGTCCCATCAGCAATGTATGAATATGCCTTTTCCCCCACATCCTCGCCAACACTTATTGTTGCTTGTATTCTTGATAAACGCCATTATGACTAGAGTTAGATGAAATCTTAGAGTAGTTTTGATCTGCATTTCTCTAACTTCTAGAGATGATGAACATTTTTTTCATGTTTGTTGATCGATTGTATTTCTTCTTCTGTGAAGTGTCTGTTCAGTTCCTTAGCCCATTTGTTGATTGGGTTATTTGTTTAAGTTTTTTTAGTTCTTTATATATCCTGGAGATTAGTGCTCAAGACAGCATTTTCAATACTGAATAAACTTGTTTTCAAAGAAAGTAAGTATTGTGTCTGAAAGTTTGAGAATCACCTGATGTCAAGAGTCTTTGTAATATTTTTTAAAAAGATTAATGACATGGTACAGAAAGATTTTCTCTGATGGCAGTGGTGCTAACAAATTGAGAATGCTTGGAAGTGAAGGCAATTTGGCTGTGACATCTGTCACCCCACCGATTGCCAGGGTTGATTCACCTGATCTGGCTAGCTAAGTGGGTGTTTCCTTCCTCCCTCACTTCTCCATGTGTGTCCCTCTTGAAGCAGTGTACTCAAAGAGGAGGACCTTCCCAGAAGAGGACCGTTCTTCAGTCAAAGGCATTTGAGTAGCTGCAATCCCCTGCTAGAACTTCCAGACAAGCTCTCAAATTTGAGAACACTCTGAATAGAAGTAGAAAGACTATTAGGATATGATGGAATTCTGAACAATGTGGTGGAAATGTATATGGAGATGATGGATTAATAAATGTCAAGAGAGTGACGTTATGTGCTACCACACAAAAATGGTAACCGAGGAAGTGCATTTTTTTAATTACCTAAATTTAGCTATTCCACAATGTACGTGTACTTCACAACATAGTGTGGTACAAGATAAAAACACACAGTGTTTTCTGTCAATTAAAAAAAGAGAATAAAATTTTTTAAAAAAAGAAATGTGGAAGGAGGGGGAGAGAGAGGACTGGTTGGGGATATTTTAGGGGGTGGGATTAAGGATAAAAGAGAAGTATCTGAGACAAGGAGTTGAGAAGAACATTGCCATTTCCCCTGGAGGAGGAATGTAGGAAAGTGTCCATCATTGGGAAAATGTCATTATAGAGTTTGTGATGCCTGGATAGGTGGGGTCTTTTTGAACCCTCCACAAATTCTGAGCACTCTGTAGATGCCATGAGAATTCATACAAAAGGAGAGTCAGTTGAAAGTAGCACATGGCTTGCATAAATTAAGCTCACTAAACATATATTGGATGATGCATGCAAGCTATGCCTTAGGTTTAGTCAACATTTACTGAATGAAGATAAGGTACCCTGAGCTCTGCTAGGGTCTGCAAATACAAAGCTAAAAAGCAGTCCTGGTTCTCAAAAATCTTCTTTACATGCTGAAATAGTGACCCAAATGAAAGGCCAATGGGGCATCAAGGAGGAAGAGGTGTCTAGGGTTTGGACAGGAAAATAGGACTGGGAAGATACTCCAGGTGAGGGGAATTATAGAGGCCAAGAGACAGACAGAGTTTGGTATAGAGTAGAGTGTGCAGGGGGGTGTGTTAGTCAGCTTTTCAATACTGTAACAAATACCTGAGATAAATTAACTTAAAAAGAAGAATGGTTTATTTTGGCTCATAGTTTTGGAGGTTTCAGTCCATGATCAGSTGGTTCCATGGCTTTGGAATCTGAGGCAACGTAGCAGATCATGATGGAAACGTAGTGGGAGCAAAGCTGCTCACTTTGTGGTGGGTGGAAGGAAGGAGAAGAAAGAGGAGGGACCAGGGTACAAATATCTCCTTCAAGGACATTCCCTCAGTGACCTAACCTCTTCCCACTAGACCCCACCTCCTAAATGTTCCAACACCTCTCAGTATGTGTCACAGACTGAGGAACAAGTCATTAACTCTTGGGCCTTTGGAGAACACTGAAGATCCAAGCTATAACAGGGGACCAGAGTGGGCCTGTCAAGTTTGAAGGGCAAGTGCTGAGCAGGGCAGCTGTGTCTGTATCTTTGTCTATGCAAACAGGACCTCAGGGAGTTCTGATTTTCAGAAAAACCACAGGCTGTCTGGGCCTGCCCAGTGGCTGGGATAATATGACTGAACCCTGAATAGTAAATAACGGCAAAGGATTAAGTCATACAAGGAAAGAGAAGTTGGCACACAAATAGGGAACAAATGGCATTTCTGAATGCATGGGAGTCGAGACAAAGCTTTCTTAAGTGCTCATCCAAGCAACACCTTGGAGTTTGTGAAGAATCTGCTGAGGTTCCAAAGGGGCACTGTGGTCTCTCACATTCTGCTTTTGCAGTAGGTTGTGTTTTGCCTGTGGGTTCTTTGCTGGCATGCATCAGCAAATGCCAGCGAAATACAGGCTAACGAACTAAGTGCTGCTCCCTAGGAGCAGTGTGTAAAGCTGTTGTGAGAATTGAAAAGCCTCCCCCAGCACCAAGTAACATTCCTGCGGTCCCTTGGGTGTGTCTCTTGGTAGGTCTCAGTTGGAGTGGAGAGAGTGGGAAAGTGCGTATTATGAGGTGGCTATTGGAGGGAGGGCAGGCAGGGTGGAGAGGTGGAGAGATTTGAGAAAGGATGGTACACTTTGCCTCCATCTCTTTGGGTCAGTTTTCCAAGCTGCTCCATATGACTTTCATCTCAAACACAACAGCTACCAATTGATAAATGTAAATACCAGTATTTTGAAGGAAAACTTTTACCTCCTAAGGAGAAATGCTTAGCTGGGACAGTACCCAGCCTGTCCTCTAGAGGTTAGAWCTGAGGCAAAAATCGATGGATCTAAGTGAGTGCATGAACCAACTTTCCAGACTTGGCTTGGAGCCTTGCCCAGGGCTCTGCCCAGACCAACTCCTATTGACTTGGCTTTCAAGATTTTTGAATTAGCTGTAGAAAGCACTTTCCTTTGCCTAGGGTGGGTGCAGGCAGTCCAGCCGAGTCCAATACCATCGTGTATTATTTATAAGTCGTGACAGCTTGGCTCTTTGAGATGATGTGTTCAGTTCGCAGAAGAGCAAACCTATTCCCTGGGAGGGTGACTGTAACTGGAGCAGGATCTGAGTTTAGTCTCAGACAAAATTCAATATGCACAGGCAAGGACAGAGGTGCTCATCCCTCCAGAGGCTGGACCACAGCGTGAGGTTGCCTGAGTCAGTGTGACTCTGTAAAGAGAAGTCTTTGCACCTGGGCTGTACCTCATGCTTTATAAAGCACTTTTACAGAGATGATCTCATGTTAATTCTCACAGTGACCTTGCAGGTAAATATTATTAACTTTCTGTGTTTTAAGAGTAAAAAGAGGCTCAGGGAGGTTAAGTGAACTTTCTAAATATCACCCTAGTAAATGCCAAAGCCATGAATCAAACTCAGTTCCCTAAACCCCATGTCACACCCAAAGAGTCATCTGTGTGTGTGCACGATGAAAGGATGTTCATCCTTTCATCCAAAAGAGTTTGTCACTATTTCTGTATGAACTTGGTGATTCTCCTACTTATGGATAGACAGCAAGTACTATGATGTAGCAAAAAGAAAGGAAAACCAATAAAGACATAGCAACGTCAGATGGGCTGTTATTCCAATTTAATAAAAAGTACTTATGCAAACTCTAATGTGACTCCAGTATGCTGGGTACTAGGGACACAGTGATGGTAGGTAGACATGTTCTGTTCACCCAAAGTTCCCCATCTGGTAATGAAAACCGCATTCAGGCAGCTAACTAATCATAAAGAGTGTGTTGAGTACTATAACAAGTTGGGAAACTAAGGTTTAGAGGGAATAAGTAATTCAGCTAAGGCCAACCAAATACAGAAAACGGGATTAAAGGCAGGGATTGGGAGACCAGTAGTCTATCCTATTGCCTCCCAGGCTCTACTGGTTCCATACTATCTCTTCAAGGAATGAAGGAGCCTCAGATTTCTCATTATTAAAATAAGCACAATAACTATCATTTCCATTAAAGGTTACATGAGAGTAAATGAGATATTCRTACTTGGCGAGTAAAATGTTCCATGTTAGGTATTGCTATCTTCCCATGCAGGATGAGCTGATCCAACAGCTGCCTCTGGATATTTTAGAGACTGAGAGACTGCTCCAATTGAAAAAAATATATATATATTTTTTTTTGCTAGGTATTGAACCCAGGGCCTCAGCCCATACTCTAATGAGTGAGCTACACCCACAACCCAATAAATATTTTAAAAATCCATTTAAATATGACACAATGTTGCTATCTTTTATCTTCTGCACCACACTAAATGTAATGCACTTGAAATGATCTTTTCAGGAACATCCTGAACTCCAAAAACCAATGCCACAAASAGCCCTGCCCCTGAATGACAGCTCTCCAGCCCGTGGCTTGGATTTGGTCCCAGTTAACAGTTGCATTTAATACTATTCTTTTAATGAGAATCATATGTGGTCCGAATTACTTGTGAGCCATTTAATATTTATTTTTATTAGGTGCCTCTACTGGTTTGCAATTCGGTTTCTCCTGGTATGGTAGAGTCCTCAAGGTTAGGCATTTAAAGATGAGTTGGATGAATGCTATGCAGAAGAGCAGAAGGCCAGGCCCAGGTCCTGCCAGTCACAGGAGGCCAAACCACAAATAAAGGACAGAATAGTTTTCTCATTCATTCTTTTTAGTTTATTCAAGAACTGTACACAGAGGGCCTACCATATGTGGCTATCTGCTAAGCAGAGGTAATGATAGTGGATTTCAGACAAAGGTAAGCAAACCCCACATCAGCAGGGCTAATCTGGAGATGTAGCAAATTGCAGTGAAGTCAAGAAACAATGGTGGAGCCCAACCAGTGGGTATAAGACCCATCACTGCCAAGTACTATGGGACCTTGGGATAATCACTTACTCACATGATGTTTCAATTTCCTCATCTGGAATTCACAGTTGTTGCAAAAATTATATGAGATAATATGTAGTCAGAATAATGTCTGGCACACAATAGGAGCTGTATGAGTATTATCCTTCCAGTGGTGAGAAAGGAAGGAAGTAAAGTAATCGGAAGTTGTGATATCGGCAATAAAGAAAAAGGGTGTGAGGTAGGGGATAACAGAAGTGGAGAGGTAGGCAGAGGAAGAAGGTCTCTTCTAGCCAGAGGGGCCAAGCAATGGCTGTCTGACCAGTTAGCAACAACACTGAGACATGCTGGGTGAAAGGGTCGGGGAAGGGAACAGTCTAGGCAGAAGGAAGATGCTATCTGAAGCCCCCAGGTATGAAAGAAGCATGGCCTGGAGAAGATTGAAGAAGAGATAGGCAGGGGTATTTTCTTATAGGCCACAGCAATAAGTTTAGATTTTATGATAAATGCAGTGGGTTGAGCCATTTTATTCAAGGTAGGGCTGTGATCCAATTAACATTTTATGAAGCTCATTCTGGGGAACAGATTGTTGGAGGGGAAGAGTGGGAGTTGTCATAGATAAGCGGAGAGGCAGTGGTGTTCTGGCCCATGTCAAGGCAGTGAGCTGGAGTCAAACTGATGAAATATGGATCTGGAGTGTCTTCCAAAGGCCCATGTGTTCGAAGTTTTGGTATCCAGCTGTGTTTGTCAGCTTTGTTGCTGTGACAAATACCTGGAAAAAAACCAACTTAGAGGAGAAAAGATTTATTTTGGCTCATTGTTTTCAGAGTTTCAGTCCATGGTCGACCGACTCAAGGCAGAAACATCATGATGGAAGGGCATGGCAGAGCAAAGCTTTTCRCCTCATGGCAGCCATGAAGCAGGGAGAGGGTGGGAAGAAGTCAGGGAAGAGAAAAACCCTTCAGGGCATGTCCCAGTGACCTACTTTCTCCAACAAAAGTCCCACTCCTAAAGGTTCCACCACCTCTCACTGTCAATGAATCACGAATCCATCAATGGTTAATCCCGAGGTCAAAGTCTGATAATCCACTCACTTCCTTAAATCCCTACCTCTGAACATGGCTATGTTCAATACAGAAGTCTTCAGGAGACATTTCATATCCAAACCATAAAACCAGCTCATAGTGCTATTGGAAGATGGTAGAACTTTTAGGAGGTGGGGCCTCAGTGGAGCAAGTTAGTTCATAGGGATTGTGCCTTTGAAGGGCCCTCTGTCTTCTTCCTGGCCACCATGAGGTGAGTAGCTTTCTCTGCCATATGCTCCAGCCATGATGTATGGTGCTGCCGCAGGCCCAAAGCACAAGGCCAACCAACCTGGATTGAAACCTCTAAGACTGTGGGCTCAAATAAATCTTTCCTCTTTATAAGWTGTATATCTCAGGTGTTCTGTCACAGGGATACAAGGCATTCTGATGAGAGATCTGTCCTCCTGGACATAGAATTGATGTATCTTGCTGAGGGATTGGACCTATAGTTTTTGACAAAGCATAAGGTAGGCATAGATGTGGCCCCCAGTAAGCACTGCAGGAGAAAGGTGGGGCACCAGCTATACAGGGTGCAAGAAGAGATGGAGCTATTGGATTATGCCTCCCCTCTTATGGCTCTGATAATAAGCACAAGTGAGCTGGACACAGTCCAGTGGGCCCCAGGGCTTGCTGCACTCTGTTCCCCCAAACCTCCAGGCTCCTCCAGACCCAGTGACTGATTTGGCTCCCTGAAACACCAAGCATTAGAAACCAACAAAGATTTGTTTCCATTTTCTCCAGGAGACAAGACCACAGCTAAATGGGCCCCACAGGAGACAAAACAGTCTTACCTACCCACAAAAAGACCAAGGACTTGTGGGGAGGGAAGAATCAGGAAATACTAGAACCAGTCCCTGTTCCTCTCTACCCTGTTTCCTCCTTAGGTAGATTTCAGGGACCTGTGCTTTTTCTGAAAAGAGGATTCTTAAGAGAATTCCATTCACCCCTCCTTTGGTAACTTATGAGTTCAAAGGACTTCTCTATTGACCAAATATTGTTAAAATAATTAAACACTGAAGTAAACATAAAGGTTGCTCAAATCCACGAAGCCAATGAGGCTGACCTGAAAGTCTCACTGTGTTGCTCCCCCAGAGACCTGAATTACAAATCTCGGTAGAAGGTGAAAGACAGTGAGGTTAGGATTTACAGATTGTTATCCAATACCTCTCAGCAAGATGAATTCGGCACAATAAAACATGTATAGGGCTTTTTATTCCTGTGCTAGAGATGATCTTGGAGAAGGAGTGAAATTCCTCCTTGGTTTCCATCTGTGCAGTCAGCTCCCATATTGCAGAAGCACAGGGGTGGTCCAATTTACCTCAAGCAGAATAAAAGGCCCCCATCCAAAATTTGGGTCATTCCAACTTTTTAAAAGCCCTTCCCCAGAGAAAAACCCAAATCCTCCTGATCTCTTGGAAATTTGGAGATACCTATTTACYTGTATTCTGCAGATTGTATGGGATTTCTTTTTCTTTTCTTTTCTTTTTTTTTTTTTTTTTTACCACTTTCCCTAAATCCAAAGAAGATTCCTCTGGCAGCAGTTGTTTCTCAATAAGGGAGCAGCAGGGTGACAGATCCTAATAGCTTTTTATTTTTTGTGGTACTGGGGATTGAACCCAGGACCTCACACATGTTAGGCAAAAGCACTAGGTGCCTGCCGGCCTTGCCTCAGCTCTGGAAGGCTGTGCACCTGTAAGATCATTACCTGGGTGGAATCCCTGGGCGACGGTCAACAAATTCACGYAGTCGTATGGCAGTCATGATGGATGGGAATCTGAAAAAAAATATATAGAATGAAATTTAATATTGTCAGTTTATACACATTTCCAGGTATAAGCTATTACTAGTGTTTGGATCTGGAATGTTTCCCAAAGACCAATATGTTGAAGGTTTGCCAGCCTTTGGTGCTATTGGGAGGTAGTAGAACCTTTAGGACGTAGGTCCTAATGGCAGGAAGTTAGGTCATTGGGTGCCTGCYCTTGTAGGTGTTATTGGAAACATGGCCCCTTCCTCTTTCTCTCTTTGCTTCCTGGCTGCAGTGAGGTAGACAGGCCTTCACTATGCACTCCTGCCATGATGAACTATGCCACTACAGGCCCAAAGCAACAGAGTCAAGTGGCCATGGACTGAAGCCTCTCAAACTATGAGCCAAAATAAACCTTATCCCTTATTAATTGATTATCTCAGGTATTTTGTTACAGTGTTGGAAAGCTGACTAACACAGCTATCTAACACCATAAAGTCCATCTGGAAAGAAAAATTGTAATAACATTGACATAGTAGAAGGTCTATCCATATCCTCTTTTAGGGAAGAAAACAAAAGAAGACTAGTAAAGAAGCAAAAAAGAAGTGGAAAGTATAAGTGAATAAGTACAGGTATGCTTTTCTTTAAAAACAAACAAACAAACAAACAAACCTGTTCTTGAATGTTAGTTGGGCACAGTCTCCTTTCTCACTTCTTAGTGGGCCTTCCTGCTGCACAAGCTTACAAATAAGCACTACCTTTCCGAGAGTCTCTACAACTAAAATTCTGAATGTGAATTTTTGTCCTTCAATCAGATGTGTTTGCATGGACTTGGGAAAAGAAAATGAGGCAGAGAAAATATCTTGCTGCTTTGACCCATTGGCAAGAAAGGCAATAGTGGTTGGCATTGTAACTCAGTGGTAAACTGCTTTCCTAAGCACATGTGAGGCACTGGTTTTGATCCTCRGCACCACATAAAAATAAATAAAATAAAGGTATTTTGTCCATCTACAACTAAAAAATAGGTTAAAAAAATAAAGGCTATAAAGATATGATGGTTTTCTGCAGCAGAAATCCAGTGTCTAATCTCTAGCTTTGGGGATGTCCAGATACAGTTGCTACAAAGACAGTGACTGAACCGCATTCCACTGTTCAAACACCAGATTCATGGGTGTGCAGAGGGAGCTGTAGTGGTATGGTAGTGGCATTGGGAGTGGATTCTTGAACTTGATTGTTCTATAAGCAGCTTCCTCATTTTTGTGGAATTGTTCTAGAAGATTCTTGGAGGCCCTACCCATYCTTTCCAATGATTTTGCAAACTCTTCATTCTCTGTTTTAAGCTCCATTCTATTTCCCATACTGATTTCAGACTTAAACATGTATTGTTTCTTGTCTAACATTTCATATTATGTCTGATTATTTACCAGAGAATAGCTTACCACGAGCACACAACTGTAATTAAATATTCACACACACACACACACACACACACACACACAAATCCATAATAAGAAGGGAAACTGGGGAGGAGGACAAAGATATGAGAAAGCCATGCTCTTTATAGAGTATCTTCTGTGCCTTATTTTGTGCTCTATGTATATGTTACATTTTCTATATATGAAGACAGCTGGGCTCTGATTTACATAAATATGGCAACCAGCACAGCAGAAGAACATTGGACTGAGACTCTTGTGGCAGGTCATTTCCTGGCTATGCATATTGATTACAGAACCTCTCCAAGGATTAAATGAGGCAATAATGTGTGTGAGTGTTCTGTAACCTTAAAAGCACCTTTAAGAAAGGAAAATATGAGTTTCTATTTAGAGTGTACATTATGTGTTGAATAGCATGCATTAGCTCCCATTAGCCTCCCAGCAACCCTGCAAAGCAGTGAAACTATTTTACTCACGAGAAAACAGGTACTAAGAAGTAAAGTAGCCTGTACCAGTTTACAGGGAAACCAGGATTAGAATCTTTTGGCTCCAGAAACATTAATCTTAACAACTGTGTTATATTTAAACAATCCAGAGCACTGAGACCATCAGCCAAAATAAAAGTAGGACTGTTCAAAAGAAGCTAAGAGAAAAGAAACCAGGAGGAAGGACTAGGGGAAAAAAAGTGTGTGATGTCTCCCTCTCCTGCTTTTTATAGTCAAAACTTAACTCACTGCCTACCAGCCAGCTCGCTGATTTATTTCACCTCTGAGGATCATTTTCAAGGCAACTTGGACATTTACAATGACATTACATTCTAACAGAATAGTTGGCTATCCATAGAAGCCTCTTCATTATATAATGTATTTTTAACCTTTAGCACTGCTGTGATTAGTTTTTTTTTAAAAAAAGAAGGAAGAGAGAACAAAAGAAAGTTTGGTTATGCACAATTGAGTTCTTGTGTAATTTGCTACAAACAGAAAGCTTTGTGAGGTTTTACTTCATTAGAAGTGATATGCTAGAGAAAATCTAAGATATCTAGGACATCTGTGCTCCAAAGACAGCACTGATATTGCCCTTGATGATACAGGGATTGCTCAGGGCCTAGAAATTCTGAATCAGCATTGTAGGTTGCCATGCTTTGGCCATGCCACACAGTCAGTTTTGGAGGAACCCATTGACAATTGTTTCTGAGTCTCAGATGAAATTCTCAGAATAATCAGAGACYCTTGTCTGATTGTAGTTATAGATCTGACATTGTTGAGAGCCACAGCTGAAGCGCCCCAGCAAACTTCCAGCTGATTGGCTCACAGTGGCCCCAGCAACCAGCTGATTGGCTCCTCTGCGGTGATGCTCATCGGGCTGTTTCCCGGCCCTTTCAGATCTCAGAGCTGCTCATTGGGGGACTCTTTTGGCTCCGCCTATGTGACCCAGCCAATCTGCCTCAAGAGCGGGAAGAGATTGGAGGACTCGCAGGGAGTGCCTGAGGTGGCAGTTGGGCTCTGAGGGAATTCCTGAAGAACTCATGTGGTGGGCGTGTGTGTTCTAAAAATAAAGTTCCTTCATGTTTGATAAGTGGCTCGTGAATTGTGCCCAGCCAGACTGGCATGACATTCTGCATCTCTTAAACACATAAGAAAATGTAGATGGTAATAAGAGGTATCAATACATTTTGTTTTAGTCAATCTTAAAAAAATATAGCCACCAAATCTGAATGTGATTTCTCAAGCATGAACTTGTAGTTRATTTATCAGTGCCATATCCACAGCCTGTTCCACAGCTGCACTCAGAACCGAGAAAAATGTAACTCTCCTGTCCTTTGTTACTGGCAGCAAAGCCAGAGACTCTGCCTGGATCCTGGTTGGCCAGATGCAGCTGCCAGCCCACAAATGAAATAATTAATAATGTAAAAAGAAAATATGTATTTAATGCAGTTTAAGCAAACTGGGGAGAAGTAGCTATTGTCTCTCTGCCAATCTTGCAGAAGCCATTGCGATTTTGAGTAACAAAAGCCAGGAGATGTGCATGTGTGTATTTACTCAGGCTGTGCTTAGCCACAGCACACGTCAGTTTTGACCTCCTTGGCACCTTTTAGGGCCAGGATTTAGTTTTTAAACTTTCTAGCCTCATCATGAGGAAGTTTGGGAACTCTCTGTTTCACCTGCAAATCTTTACAGCTTTAACTTAGTCACCTTCAAAGATTTTGTGGGGCTGGGAATGTAGCTCCGTAGTAGAGCTGTTGCCTAGCCTGTGCAGGGTCCTGTGTTTGATCTCCAGTGCTGCCAAGGAAACTGTTTAATTTTTTTTCTTAGATGTGCCTCATGTAAAATTCTTCCAGAGCAGATGCAAGTTCAAGCTTAATCTTCCATCCCTTTCCTTTTCTTGGATTTCAAATTAACCCTAAGAAACTGCTGTGGTTTGGATGTAGAATGTTCCCTGAGACCCATGTGTTAGAGACTTGGTCCACAGCTTGGTGGTCCTGGGAGAGGGTAGAGCCTTCAGAGGTGGGGCTTATGGGAGGACTTCAAGTTATTGGGAGCATGTCCCTGAAGGGGATATTTGGGCCCTGAACCCTTCTTCTTCTCTCTTGTTCTTTCTCAGCCAAAGAGTCAAACAATTTTTCTCTGCCATGTGTTCCCACCACAGGCCCAAAGCAGAGCCAGTCATGTACTGGAACCTCCACAAATGTGAGCCAAGCTAGGTCTTCTCTGTTTATAAGTTGATTATCTCAGGTATTTTTTAATAGTAGTGGAAAGCTGACTAATAGAAACCTTAAAACATTTTTCTTTTTTAAGACATAATAAATTGTAAAACATAATATGTCCTGAGAACATAATGTTACTAAAGAACAGTAAAACAATCCATAATTCTACCCAATAATGGCTACTCTCATGCTTTTTATATTCTGTATGTGCACATATATATATACATATCTATATAGTTGAAACCACAGCAGATTTTCTACTTTATATTGTTTTTAATTTAACAATATATAATGAAAATTTTCCCCACATTGCTACAGCATGTTCTTAATTCTAATATTTAATGTTCTTTTATGCTGCTTGGTGAGGTCATATATCACCTTATTACTTATTATTTATTTGGTGCTAGTTATGGAACCCAGGGCCTCATACATGCTAAGTACCTGCTCAACCACTGACCTATACCCCACCCTCATGACCTTATTTAAAATGAGACCTATCTCTACCCTTACCCCTGGGATTCCTTATTCCTGCTATATGCTTTTTCTCCAAAGCACTTGGGATTTTCTGCCATACTGAATATTTACTTATGTATGTTGTTTTTATTGTCCTGCTACCTTGTTAGAAAGTGAAGTGCATGAGGACAAGAAGATGTCATTCCCAGTGCACAGAAATTAAAATTTAATTTTAGAACCTTTTATTTATGCTAGTGTTCAGAAGATGGACTAGGGTCAATAAATTTAAAAATGTACAATGCAACACACTTTCTTAAAGTTTAATGTTTCACATGGTCACTGTGGGAACCAACATATAAGATGTATTTTGTCAACTTTCTCAGCAACTTTTTGGTATTGTATGACATATTATTGATTAAGTAAGATT